AACACTACAGAGAACCACAGCCAATCAAAACACAGAGTTGTGGAGCCCAGTCCCAGTGGATACATCTACAAAGCATTCCTGTACCTAAGGCTCCAGGAACAGTGAGGAATAGGTGATGTGAAAATTGTTAGAGCCAGAGAACCAGGGAGTTCATTGGGAGACTGTATCCCCTAGTTACACCAGAAGCTGCTCTCATGAAGTCTCACCTACATAACTACCCAAGTGTGAGGAGAGCAAGGACGACACTAATGGGCATGCAAAGGTGGGTGGAGAAAAACCTCAATCCAGCACAGAGAACGGTAGGCAGCTGAGGAAAGCTGGGAGCAGGAGAGGTCTTTTTCCCCGGGGAAGAGTACCAAATGGTTTGCTAGTGCCAAATAATCAGCCCTGAAAATACATGCAAGAAACATGATATGAATGGAACCAGACAATATTTAAGAATACATACATATATATGCGTGTGTGTGTGTGCATGCAATATCAATTAATGAAAAAAGAGGTCATGAAATTGAAGGAGAGTGGGGAGTGGGAAGAGTATATGGGAGAGTTTGGAGAGGAAAAGAAAGGGAGAAATGTAATTATGGTATAATCTAGAAATTAAAGATAAATTTAAAATTTTTGGATGAATTATGGGATGATGAAGGAGGGAGGGTCATCTGTCTATGTGTTACTCTCATTGGTTAATAAAGAAACTGCCTTGGCTTTTTGATAGAGCAGGATCTATATAGGTGGAGTAGACAGAACAGAATGCTGAGAGAAAGAAAGCATAGTAGGTCAGACACGATGAAGCTCCGGCCCAAGATGGACATAGGTTAGAATCTTCCCGGTAAACCACCACCTCGTGGTGCTACACACATTAATAGAAATGGGTTAATCAAGATGTGAGAATTAGCCAATAAGAGGATGGAACTAATGGGCCAGGCAGTGTTTAAATGAACACAATTTGTGTGTTGTTATTTCAGGTGTAAAGCTAACCATGCGGGAGCCTGGTGGAACGAAAAGCAGGCCCACTTGCTTGCCTCATCACTACAATGGGGTGCTACAGTGATTTTATAAAAGATACCTGTAAAGACATGATAAAATATGTATTTAGATACTGAATCTGAGAAGCATCTTTCTAACACCTCTACCACAAGGTGGAGATTCCATCTCTGGTGACTATGGCAGGGACTGACGAGTTAAATGCCAAGACTCTTCCCTTTTCTTCCTAGGTTCACAGTTAATGTTGACTTCCCAGGTGGGCTAGGACATATGCCCAAGTTTCAGCCCCTAGAATATGAGCAGAATTGAAGTGCTCTATTTCCAGTCTAGTGCACAGATGAACCCTACTCCCATCCCACAAGGAAAACATGTACATAACTTCTGTCATCTGCAGGATGGAGGTCAACAGCCAGGGACTAGGTCTTGGCACCTCCACTCGACCTGATCAGCCACCAATCAGGTGCACCTGCTTTATGCTTGTTCTGAGTAAAGATCAACTTACATTGAGACCACTGAGACCATGTAGTACCATGTAGAAAATTCCTTCAAAATATGGGGAAGATATGAAGGAATAAGGATGACTGTCAAAATCACTGAGATTTGTTTCTTCCTGTCCATTTGTTTGTTTAAGACAGGACCTCATGTAATACCAGTTGGTTTTGGACTCACTATGTAGGCAAGGCCAGGCTTGAACTCCCGACTCTCATGCCTAAATCTCCCATGTGCTTTGATTGAAGGCATGCACCACCATACCTAGTCCTTTCAGATTCACTGTACCTCCATTCAGATTTTAATGGTTTACCCTACCATCTTCTCTCCCTTTGAAGTTAGTGTTGATAATAATTATTACCAATTTTTGAAGAATAAGGTTGAATTTTCAGTTTTGGCAGGTTACACCCTTGCTGACCTGTGACTTAAGGGAGTCAAGAAATCAAACCTACAATGTTCTCAACCTAACATAAGAGAGTGCTGGATGAAGGTACATTTCTGAGGGCAGAATCTGTAAAGACAGCCAACTTTATCTTCCACTCCCAACATCCTGGTTTTGTTCTGATTATAATTCTGTTCTGATCCTACGTCTAAACACACTTTTGCCTCCTATCCATCCAAATGGGGTTATGATTGGGGTTGCTCTTTAAAGAAACAAACCTATTTGAAATGGAGCATGTCTGCTATTCATCTGACTGTATTGGTGTGGGAGTAGCTAAGTGGTTCGGAGAAACAGAGTGTGGCAAAAGGGCTGATGGAAATCCAGCCAGGTGGAAAAGTGGGAACTAGAAGCTCCAGTTTCCGGTGATGAGACCAACAGAGATGAGACCACATACATTCATGTGTTTGAGGACATAACATATGTGATTCTCATCTCTAAAACAAAGCCATTGGGGCTGGAGAGATGGCTCAATGGTTAAGAGCATTGCCTGCTCTTCCAGAGGTCCTGAGTTCAATTCCCAGCAACCACATGGTGGCTCACAACCATCTGTAATGAGGTCTGGTGCCCTCTTCTGGCCTGCAGGCATACACACAGACAGAACATTGTATACATAATAAATAAATTAAGAAATATTTAAAAAAATTAAAACAAAGCCATTGATCCTATGTTTTACCAACAACTAAGAGAATAACAAATGCAGGGTTTTTTTTTTAAAAAAGTATATATAAGAAGAATCAGAAACTGTTTATTAGGGAAACCTGGGTTTAACCTCAGCTTGTTCTCGTACTGGCTGTATTGGGCCTCCCATATAGAGATAAATATAACAAGTGGGCTTTGTTATTGTTTGGTTTTTGTTTGTTTTTTTTTGTTTGTTTGTTTTCTTTTTCCCTGAAACAGGGTTTCTCTGTGTGACAGCTCTGGCTGTCCTGGAACTCACTCTCTAGACCAGGCTGGCCTCGACCTCACAGGAATGACAAGTGTTGTTTTAACACTACATATACATTGATCTCTAGTGTCCTCGTCTGTATAGGGAAGGTAATATTTAGTGTCTAATGTAATCAAAGCCAGACTTTAACTCCTGACCCTCCTGCCTACACATCCCATGTGTTTTGATTACAGGCACAGAGATAGAAGAAAGGAAGAGGGGACTGGGTAGGATATACATATATATATATATATATATATATATATATATATATATATATGGTCACTCTGTATCAAAACATCTCCTAGCTTAATGTATTAAATACAGTGTGCCTTCATTTGTTAATTATGCCAATCCTTCTATTCCAAACAGGCATCCTCATATAAAGGTCTTGGGGAAATCATGGTGAGGCACGACCCTCACACCTAACATTTGAATTCGGGTACAATCTAGTTAATCAGCACCAAAGTTGACTTGATCAAAGATTCCTGGAGACTCAATTTTAGACTGGACAGGTGTGACAGAGGTTATATTGAAAAGATGAAGCAGAGGAAGGAGGTAGGCTGCACAAGGGCAGAGAGCTGCATCCTGGAGAGGAGTGGGGACACAGGCTACGCTGATGCCCGGAGACCCAGCCACACTCACTGCTCCTTTAGAGATGGAGGGAGGAGGCACTGAGCACCGGCAATGGACAACCTAGATGTACTTGCTTCCTTCTTCCACCCTCCTTTTTTCTTCTACCTGAACTCACCCTCTTTATCCTCTCTTTCCACATCCATCCCTTTTTAAATTTGGGGATTTCTGATTTCCCATAACTCAGAATCCACCTGGTACAATGAATAAAATCCCAGGGAACTGGGCTTAGGAGAACATGGTCTAAGAACCACTGCTGCCCACTTGGGAGTAACTTTAACTTCCTCTGACTTCTCTGAGTTCATTCCCTTTGACCATAGCTGTGAATCAGCCTAAACTAATATACCTACGTTGTGAAAAACCATTAGAAGAAATAATATCCACTTGAGTTCTGTTTCTAATTGAAATAATTACTAAAAGTTAGTAATAGTTTATATAACTTATGACACATCTCTTGACCCCATGAGCAATGATTTCAAACAAAATGAAACAACATGGGAAAAATAGTAATAACATAACATTAAACAAAATATATAGGATGACAAAAATAGAGTCTCGTTTATCCCAGGCTAGCCCTGAACTGCTATGCAACCAAAGATGACCTTGAGTATGAACCTCTGATCCTCCTGCCTCAGCCTCCCAAATTCTGGGCATACAGGCTTTCACCACTACACCAGTCTAAGCCCTCAGTCTCACTAAAAACATTTTAATATTTTTTCATTAAAACTAGATGCTAAGTAGATATGCTAGAGCATGTTGCACATTATATGCTTGTAAGAAAGTGTCCTTAGGTGACCAAGTGCCGTGTAAAATAAAAATATGCTAATAGGAAAATGTAAAGGAATGAATAAATGAAATGGAAGAAAAGAAAGTGGGCAGATGGTGTCCTGGTCTAGAAAGTAGGATTATAAGGTATATTTTTAAAAGCAGAATGTTCTTTTCTATGTTTTACTAATTTTAAATAAGGAGCAAGAATTGCTTTTACAATTTATGTATAAGATAAAATAAGTAACATAGTAATACAATTCTCTCACTACTATTCCATAAACAATTTCCTCATGAATATTTCTTACAAGGTAGTAAAAATCTTAATGATACAAAATATGGACAATGGTCATTCTTGGGAAGAGAATAATAGAGCTTTGTTAGTCTTGAATTCTTTTATTATTTAATAAGATGAAAGTTAGTGATGTTCAGCAATAAATGTAGATGTTAAGCTTTGAACTGAATCTGTTAAGACATAATGAATTCTGAACACCCAACAGCATTGTCAATAAAATTATATTTATCTCTAGGGAACAGAGTGGCCAAGTAATCATGTTTGCATTGGACTTAGTTTGGAAGCCTTTATGTCTCGTTGGAGTGAAAATGATTGTTCATGATGTTCACGTTCTAAATTAGGTTGGCTTCATGTGCTCTTGGGACCTCTGAAATGTCTCTAGGCAAGACTGTGGAATTTGTTTTGGGGAAAATAATTTTAAAAAATTGCAAAGGAAATAGTCATTTTACTAACATTCAAAATACTTTTACCTTTACATCCCCAAACATTGCTGGAAGGTTGTGTGTTTTGGTTCCTAAATCCAAGTGGTAGAGGATGTCTTCATCCATAGCATCCAGGTAAGGATTCTTAACATATACAGATCTTTTTCTAGGGAAAAAACAGACATACACAGAGAGGATGTCAAGACATTTGGAGAGAAAACACACCTGAGACAGGATAACTGACTACACCTGTGATCACCACTAACATAGCTACTACACATAAACCTCTCAGTTAAATCTGGTATACAGTGAATAATGTTTGTTTTACAATTATTGTGTACCACACTTAGAACTAAGCATACAAACTATACCATACCAGGATACTGATGAAATAAATACATTAGCTCAATACCATAACCAATCCATTAATGTGTTGTGGAATAATCTTTCCGCACACTGTGAAGATTTGTCAGTCTGATTGGTTTGATAAAAGCGGAATGGCCAATGGGGAGGCAGGAATTTCAGGCACACAGGGCATTGGGAAGAAGGAGGAGGAGGTGTAGCAGGAGGAGGAGGAGGAGGAGGAGGAGGAGGAGGAGGAGGAGGAGAGTGGCCAGCCAAATGGAGAGGGAGCAAGACATGCCAGAGGATAGGAAATGGCGCGAGTCGCACGGCAACATGGAGATAATAGAAATAAGCTAATTTATAAATAAATAAATTTAAAAAATAAAAAATTAAAAAAAAAGAAATAAGCTAATTTAAGTTACAAGAGCTAATTAGGAACAAGCCTTAGCTATCGGCCGAGCTTTCATAGTTAATAATATGTCTCGGTCTCGTAACTTGGGAGCTGACTGATGGGACAGAAAAATCTGCCTACGGGATGAATAATATTAATAACCCAACTTACAAATGAAGACCTGGAGGCTCTTAGAAGCTGAGCACTCCCATATAACCAGAAAATCTACAGGTGTCTCTATTCAGTTCACTATTCCCTAGCTGTCATCCTCTCAGTATGAGGCTGCAGAACTTAGAGGCCTGGCTCTCAGACGACCTTTGTTCTAATGCCAAATCAACTGGACATGCACTTATTGTGCAGGCAGGCTAGCTTTGTTCTCCCATTCTCTCATCTGTGACGTAGGAATGGTGAAAACTGTCACTTGGCAAGTTTGTGAGCCCTAAATTTCATAATTTTAAGATATTGGGATGTATAGTGACAAAGTACTTAACCTTCATGCTTCAATCCAACACACACAAACACACACATGCACACACACACACAAACACACACACAGAGAGAAAGACAGACAGACAGAGAGATGGAGACAGAGATACAGACACACACAGAAAGAGAAAGAGCCTAGAAAAAGCCTTATGTGCAGTGATAGAACAAGTAACCATCATCATTATACTTGCAATATTGTGAGGCTTTGCTGAGATCAAGCAGAAAAGGCAATGTGGCCCCAAGTGCTATGTGTGAACCTCCAAATCTTTCTCCTTTAGTGTACACTGCTAAGTTAAGCCCCCTTCCCATGAGATAATGTCTGATGACTGAATTTGCTCCAAGGTGATACGGGGCAGTGACTTGCTGCCTGTACTCTTGGCTCTGGGCTCCATTCTCTTAATGGCTATATGGAATCGATATTCTCTTCACCCATCAACATGGTTTGCAATGAGCAAGGAGCCACTGAGCTCAGACGGTATTAGTGTCTCTCCACAAAGAGGTTGCTAGTTGTGGTCAGTGAACTTGGAAATGATCCCTGTTCTATTAGAAAATTCAGGTGAGAAATAGACCTTTGAGGATGGGGAGGTGGATGCAGTGAGATTGAACAGGCTTTGGGGGAATGAGAGTTGGGGTACATCAGCAACATAGAAAGGAGGACTAGGTACAGGCCTGGAGAAATACAAGTTGGCTAACCAAGAAAAGAAACACTTAAGATGAAAGCTGAAGAAAAAAATGGCTAAGGGGCTTGGAGAAGGTGAGGTAACAGGAGAGAAGAGCTAATCTTAATAAACACATAAAACAAAAAGTTTAAATCTATTATTGTAAGAAACGCAAAATGTAAAAAAAGAAGGTGAGATCAGATGAACCCTTCAGCCAAATACGGTGACACAAATATTTAATCCCAGCATTCAGAAAGCAGAGGCCGACTGTTATCTGTGCATTTGAGGACAGCCTGATTTATATTGTGAGCCCCAGGCCAGCCAGGGCTACATAGTGAAACCATGTCTCAAAAAAAAAAAAAAAAAAAAAAAAAAAAAAAGAGCAAACAAGCAAAATGTTTTCTGTTTTATTTTAAAGAAAGGCCCTTTAATGTGGAAATATCCAGTAGCACCTTTCCACTGGCAGCAGAAGAGTGGGAGAGGGGTACGCAATGGAAAGACAGATTTGCCCTGGAGAGGGAAGAATGGGGGGGGGGCCTAGAAACCCATAGGTCCATTACCCAGGATGTTCCAGTGGCTCCCCGTCTACCCTCACATCCTGGAGCCAACATCCTGCTCAAGGCCTGAACACAGCACCCATCCTGCTAATGCATGGCTGCCAGACCCCTGCCCTTCCCCACTGTGTCCTGCAAGGCAGCACTGTGTGCTCCCATAATAGTGGACCACATGCTCCAGCAAGGACGCCTCCCTGAATCTCCATTTCTGCACATTTCTTGACTTCCTCTGTTCCCTGGTGTGAACGCTTGTATCTGGGTGCACTTAGGGAAACAATTTATGAATCCCGTGGTCTCATTCATTTGCCAGCATTTCTTGCAAGTAACCATGAAGAATTGCCTGGGTGGATCTTCTTTCAAAAACCCAGATTTAGATCTCTCTCTCTCTCTCTCTCTGTGTCTCTCTCCTCCTCCCTCCTGCCCCCCATCTCTCCCTGTGTTATTATGACACTGGTCTATGAGAACATGATGAGTATCTTTGCTTTTGAGAACCCCACCAGCCGTGCTGAACATAGGACTTCCTTTCCACCTAAAGCCCCTGTCCCAGCCCCCATCCTTCCTTTTTCATTTGGCTCATGGATGTAAGACAAGGCAGTAAGCTGCCCCTGAGGTGGGAGATTAATTCAATCTAACTTAGATTTACAAAGCACACCCCTTACAGCCTTGGGTGACTTTATCATAATATACTTCTTTGGTTGTCAGTGGTAACAAAGTATCTGTCCCGTGCAAGACATCTTGCAAAGAATCATCTGGAAATTCTTTGGAGCCCTGTTTGAAAATCCACTAGTGACCCAGCTGAAATTAACTGGATGCTCAGAAAGTATTTTTTTTTTTGTTTAATTTTGGTTACTTATGTTTGGCTGAAGGCGAGAGCTCCCGCTCTAAGCCTTTGCTCATGAACTGCTCTTTCCAGTTTCCTTTCATGACTCACTTATCAAAATCCTCCTCATTCCTTCAGGCCAGCTCGACCACATCTTCCAGGAGCGTTTTCTAAGCAGCCGTTATCCCTAATCAATATCTTTCCCTCTCTGTGTTCCTACCGCATCTGTTCTGTGCTAATGCTGTCAAAACGCAGTTAATTTTCTGCCTCCTCAGAAAGATTCTAAATTCCTTGATGCAAACTGTCTAGTGCATCTCTCTTTAATCTCTAAGACGTTACAAATCCGATTTGTGAACCTAAATTTAACCGTTCAGAAAGTGGAACAAAACACTATTAGCTTTTTTTTGTCCCCTCCTTAAAAACATTAGAAGTAACAGGTTCTTAATTAGTTTGTGAATCATACCTCATTGGGGGGGGGGGGGGGGGATGGAGAAGAGGACTCCATGGTGTTGCGTACTGTCCCTGTAGGACAAGCTCCTGCATCAGAAGCCGGACAGTACATCCTTGCTGCAGTTAGGAAAAGCAACTGGGCCTCCGATCCCCACCCTATGCAGAGTATACTGAGTGGAAGCTTTGGTGGGGAGGTGAGGGCGCATGCATCACAGTCTGGCTCAGGAACCTGGTTAAAAAGGCAAACCACATTTCCACCGCAGAACCGTTGGCTCCAAACCTGCATCTTAGTAGCCACTAGTAATTCGTATGCACACGTGCACACGAGAGCTCAAGAAACACTGCCACTCCCTTTCTCTTCCAAATTCAATTCTACTCTTTATTTCATTCCACCAAAGCTGATTTCATGACCACAAGAGCTTCCTTTGGATTTCCTACTGCGTCTTCAAACCGTAACACTATGAAACACACTCATTCATCTCCAGCCACTCCTTAACTGCTTCTCGGAATCACCGGAGGAGATTTAAAGCCTCCTGGGGTCTGATATTGACAGAGATTTTTGTCTCCTGGGCCATGAAAAAGCACTTCTAAGGCGACCATTCTGTCAGCCACCAAAGGAGTTTTTTGGCCATTTGAATCTTTTCAGGTTCCATACAAATTTTAGGGTTGTTTTATTTCTGTGAAGAAGAGCATTCGAATCTTGACTGGAACTATATCTGTAGGCCACTTTGTGTAGCGTGGACATGTCAGCAGGACCAAGTCTCCCTGCCTAGGAATGTGACCTTCCATTCATCTGTTTATGTCTTCTATATTGTCCTGAGTTTCTTTCATTGATATTTTATGATTTCCCATATACAGAACTTTTCAGTTTATATACTGTACTCTGCTTTGTTGGGATTGTTTTACTAAGTTCATTTCCAGGGAGTTTCTTGTTAGTATATAGAAACAATGTTAATTTTCAATGGCTGAGTTTATAAACTATGGCTTCACCACATTTATTAGTTCTAATAGGTGTTTGGGTTGCTGTTGTTGTTGTGTGTGTATGTGTGTGGGTGTGTTATCTTAGTGTCTTTAAAATAGCAAAGCTTGAGACACCACAGCCCTTGAGTAGAAATATAAAGCAATTGTTGGGAGTGAAACGTAAGGCATGAGGCAGTGTGCACCTATAACATGGAACTAAACTCTAACCACGTATTGGAATCACTAGACAGACTTTAAAGAATGCTGATACCTCAGTCCCTTCTCGGGTTTTGTGATTCATTTGGTCAAGGACACCCGGCCTTAGTGCTTTTTAAATCTACTGGTCTCCACCTTTTCTGTGTTTAAGAAGAAAATCCCAAGAAACATAGCCATAAATTGCATTCTCTTGTATGATGCTTGTTATAATAGTCCCTTAATGAGTGGTTCTCAACTTGTGGGTCCTGAACCCCCACGGGTTGCATATCAGATATTTACATTATGATTCATAACAGGAGCAAAATTGCAGTTATGAAGCAACAATAAATGAGTTTATGGTTAGGGGTCACCACAACGTAAAAAACTGTATTAAAGGGTTGCAGCATTAGGAAGATGGGACCACTGCCCTTAATACACTTTGAAGATATCCTTTGGATTTCCTTGATGTCCAATTGCTCATTAGGGAAGCTGAGACAGAATGATCCTAAGTTCAGGGCCAGTTTAGGCTATACAGAAGGTTTCAAGTCAGCCCGTGCCATATAGGGAGACACTGTCTAAAAGCAAAAAAGCAAACACACACCCACAAGTGACTGCAATCAGAACAGGGTGACTCTCGCACATCTGTGCCAGAAATAAGATGGTAGATCAGGAAATAGACCCGGTTACTAATGGAGAGTTGGTGTTTGACAAACCTGCCAAGAACACACAATGAAGAAAGGAAAAGCTTCTCAAAAAATGGTGTTGAGAAAGCTTGATCTCCACCGGCAAAAGAATGCAACTGAACCTAATCTTGCACCATGTCCTAATGTCAACTCAGAGTAGACAGTAACTAACATGTTAAGACCTGGACCTGTGTCACGAGAAAGCCACAGAGAATAACTGCACCACATTGGTTTGGAAAGTGGACGCTCAGGTAGGACTCCGCAGGAAAACCCAAGTAAGCAAATAAACAAGTAAATGGAATTGTACCCAACTAAAAACCTCCTGCATACCAAAGAAACCATCCTTAGAGCGAAGAGATGCCCCACGTGCTGGGAGAAAAGTTTTGTAAACTACACAATCAACGGCAGCCTATCGTCCAAATTTCATAGCCCAATAGCAAAGAAGTAAAATATGGTTAAGCGAAGCCCAAAGATTTGGACAGACATTCACTATTGTGGGATATTATTTTATGGTGTGTTACATTGGTTTACACTGTGGAATATTTGTTTCATAATGCAAAGATATTTTGCATTCTTTAAGGCTGCATTTGTATAACCTGTGAAGCTGCGTTACTTTACCTGTCTTAAACATCTGATGGTCTAATAAAGAGCTGAACGGCCAACAAGGCAGGCAGGGTTGGCAGGCAGAGAGAATAAATAAAAGGAGAAAACTGAGAGGAAGATCGAGGAGCAAGAAAAGAAGGGGCTAGCCACACAACCAGACACGGAATAAGGATAGAAAAGGAATACAGAAATAGAAAAAGATAACATCCTGGAGGCAGAAAGGAGACAGGATTATTGATATTAAGAAAAGCTGACTAGAAACAAGCCAGGCTAAGGCTGGGTGGGCATTTATAAGTAAGAATAAGTCTCTTATTTGGGAGCTGGGTGGTGGACAATCCCAAAAGAGCACCACCATTAGTATACAAAGTTTCTCTTGTCTCTAGACCTTGTCAACATCTGTAATCAGTGGGCTTTGATAATGATTCTAATGAGTGTGAAGAGATAGCACATTGCTTTTGATTTTCATGTCCCTAATGACTAGCAATATTGAAAAGTTTAAAATATACTTGTCGGTCATTTGAATCTTTTGAGAATTGCTGTTGGTTGTCTTTCACTCTTTACTCTCTTGGTCCTTTTGCAGGGCTGAGGATATAGGTCAGTAACAAAACACTTATCTGGTATGCATGAGGCCTTGAGGTTCAACCCCTAACACTGCAAGCCAACCTAACAAACACACAAAAACCGACCAAGACTTTGTGCCCAAAGTATATGTCAATTATCACTTTTAACTAAAAGCAAATAAATGAGTGTCTTTTTTAAAATAGAGCAAAGTCTTGCCTGAGACTTTGCCACCAAACTCAAACCCATATGAAACTGACTTTTTCCAATACTTTGCTTTTTCTAAAATCACTAGCTACTGCTAAATAGGCTCACACATACTGTTTCCTCCTCAAAACTTCTTTTCAAACCTATTTTCACTCTTTTCCCAACTCATGCTCTAAATATTGGTCACAAAGACAAGTACTAGCTGGCTGGGAGGTTTTCCATTTTCCTTTGCGCTCTCTCTCTCTCTCTCTCTCTCTCTCTCTCTCTCTCTCTCTCTCTCTGGCTTCCCTGAAGGAATAAAGGTGGCAGGAGGGGTCTTTTTAAGCCTGGGAATGGAGCACTCTCTGTATGCTGACATCACAAGACATTTCCCACAATTCTCGGCAAATCAGAGGGAACTTACAAAAGTTCCTTAAGCCTCATGAAGACTAATGCTCTATTATGTTCTGTTAACCTGAGGCAGAAATTAGAGTTCAATTTGCAGGCAGCTTGGGCAGATTTATGCCCACCTTTGAGATGAATAACATCCATGATATTTCAGAAGTTGATTCTCTGTGGAGTCTGTCCATCACAAAGCATATGAAATTACCCCCTGACACACTCAACACTGTCAAAATGCCGTCGGCACTGTAGGGCCCTTTCATTATGTCTCAGGTACAGCTTATGGTCCTGGAATTAAATGCTAAATTCACTGCACAGTGAATCCCTGCCTGTACTTTGAGTTCGTCTGCTCCTGTGGGTGGGTTAAACTTCTCCAGGTTTTTGTATGTTTTGACCTACTTTCTTTTTTATGTATTATTGCTATGTGTATTATTTATTATTTTTTATAAAGCTGTGTGGGGGTAGACAAGCCAGGAGGCACATGTGGAGGTCAGAGGACAACTTTTTGGAGTCATTTCCCTTCTTCCACCTTCACGTGGGTTCCAGGGAGTGAACTCAGGTGACCAGGCTAGCTCAGCAAGCACCTTTATCCACGAAGCCATCCCCACCAGCCTCTGCTCTACATTCTTACAGGAACCAATGGGCCAACTCATCCAAGAAGAAAAATTTGCAGAGCTCTCATGAGGCTTGCTATTATATAGGACACGATTCCAATTATTTAATGCCCAACATGGAAAGATGTACATCCTCTCTGCATTTAAAATCAAATCCCAGGGACGCTCATCTGATGGAAACAAGAAAGGATCAAAATTACTCACCCCTCATATGTATTCTTGTCAGGTCTCGTGGATCTATCAGAAGCAGGTAAAATGGAAGCCATACTCTGCGGTGCACAGATATCAGGAAAAAGCAATATGAGGGCCTGCTGTTAAATTGCAGATCTAATCACAGCAACACAGCTCCAAGTTAGACCACCACTTTCCCTGCAAACTTAGGTTTCCTCTGAAGTTTCCTTCTGAAATCTTCCCTTAGCATTTCAAACTTCTCTGTCAGTTCCAAAACACCATCCCTAGAGGGCCTTTTATATGACACCCTAGCTCTCAGAGCATCGTTCCCTGAGAAGATAGGTTCCTCTGGAAGGTGTGGCATCCTTCTCTTTCACCAGGTTGGTTAATTCGTTAACTTTGATCACTGCACCTTTCCCTGGCTTCTGACCTCGGGTCCCAGCATAGGCCTGGCCTGACACACCAACTTATTTGCTTTGAAACACCTGTATATGAGCGCAAGCCAGCTTTCGGCTTCTGTGCCAACCTCATCAAAACCATGTCCAGTAAATGTGAGGACTTTCAGTTCTCAAATATTTCGTCTTCCCATCCTTTTCCACTACTTGCCAATTTGTTTTTGTTCCATGTAATTATTCGTTAGGAAAACATCCAAAGTCAGGACCTCAGAGAGCCTCTTGGTCGGAACTTTGTCCTCTGAGTCCATACGAAGGTCTGATGATTAAACACAGCTGCTTTCCTGGGCCTCTTCATTTATCTCTAATGTCCACTAAACCATATCTCTGGATGTCAATGTAGCCAGAATAAAGAATTATAGCTTAACATTTTCAGAAAAGATAGTTTTAAAGAAGTCTATTAATTGGTAGCCTGCTATGTTTGTGAAAACCTGTAATTCCAACTCTTAGGAGTCTATACAGGAGAACTGCCAGGAGCTGGAGGGCAACCTGGTCTAGAGAGTTCCACAATATATATGCTTATAAAGCAATCCCTGCTTGATAAAGAAAGAAGGAATGAGAACAATGAAGGAAAGAGGGGAGGGAGGGAAGGAGAAAGGGAGGGAGGAAGAGAAGGAAGGAAGGCAGGAAGGAAGGAAAGAAGAAAAGAAAAAAGGAAGGAAGGAAGGAAGGAAGGAAGGAGAAATAGGGAAGAGAAACTATGAATCCTCTATGTTTGCTGGTGCATCTCATTCAGGACTGCGGAAATCTGCTTCCTCATGACCCTTTCTTTCGCGGTTCCCATGGGAATCTGCTGACATTATGTATGGAGCAGAGCGTCAGGAACATTAGTATCATGGGTTTTAAACAAATCAGAACAAAACATTCACAAGTGCCAAATAGAAGCTATGTGGCATTTCCCGGTGCGTGTAATTTCTCTTTAAGAATGTACATTTACAGCCAAGAAGCCGATACCCTGGAACTTAACTTGAGGTGTAAGTTACCCTACTTTCTGCTGAAAACCATTTTATTTAAATCCTCAAATCCTTTTTTTGTGTGTGTGTGGAAGGTTGGGGGGGAGGTTCTTGTAGACACCCAACAAAGTTTTCAGGATGGGAAGGCAAACGCATATTGGGGAATAACCAAGGAAACCCAAGCCCTAGTTTGGCCACTGCCCACCAGGCATTTATAATTTTACCCAAATTATCCAAGAACCACTATGAAAGTTATCTCAGCAAAGGCATGCTAGCTATGAGACAAAATAACCCTGGACAGGGGTGTTGCCTTGGGACTTGGGACCTTGGCTCCTTCCTGGGGCTTATAATTATTTGTACATCTCAAACCTCTTGGCACTGCCAGCGAGTCTACCAGCTGCTCTTTCCCAACGCTCACTGCCAGCATTGAGACGCCAATGCCCACGGACTCTCACCCTGCCCAGCCTTTCATTTTAGATAAGCCCTATCTCTCCATTTATCTTTAGGCGATAGGAAGACCACCAAAGTGCAGCTGGCATTTACCACCGTTTCTGACAGGTGAACGTGTTAGCTAATTAGGCCTTAGGTCATTCGTTACCTCTGTGAGCAAATTAGGCAAATTAACGTGTCCGTCTCCGGCGCAGATCCTGTCAGCCAGTGACCCTGGTCACTAATAATGTCAGCTAGAACGAGCTAAAATTTATGTCGTCCATTATAACAATTCTCTCCTGCCCCTGGTCATTGAGACCAGGGATCATCATGTAAGGGAAGTTTAGAATCTTTGAGAAACCGGAAGTTATTCTCTCCTGCTTTCATATTCTGGTAGTGGGGCTGTTAACCTGAAGGCCTGTCCGTCTAACATGAATGGGGGGGGGTTGTTTATGGAAAACATGCAAAAGGTCAACTTGAGCTCAGCCCCTTGGGTTTTGCAAACAGAGGCTGTGTTCCAGCAAAGCCCTATGACCCCACACAGCATGGCTCAGGAAGGTCCTGCATCAGCTCCAACAAAGTCCCGCTCTGTGGTGTCTGAGCTGCAATGAACACCTCTTCCGACCTTCTTCCACAGCGCTATCCCTCCACTGGATAGCCTCCATCCTAGACTGTCTTCTCCCAGGCTCAGTTCTGCCTCTGGACCCCCCGACGTTCAGTCGGCTGACTTGAGGTGTCTCCTCAGTGACTGCAGCTTCCACTGAGTCCAGGAGACTTCACATGTGGAGTTAAAGTCCCACCTAACCACTCCTAAGGCAGTGTCCTGTCACCCGGAAGAGGAGTTTGATTTTCAAACTCTGGTAACAATGTTAGTGCTATAAGGTTTTTATGTCTCAGTATTTGAAACAAAACAGCTTTAGTGGCCTTTCTCTTTCTTTCTTTCTTTCTTTCTTTTTTTTTTTTGAGCTCTAGTATTTTAAAACTCAAACACCAAAGCAAGATTTCACTATGATAGACTTCAGTATCCACACCTAATTTTATGGCTGTCTTAACCCCTTTAGTAAAGTGCTATGAGTCACTACTGGCAGGCTGCTTCTCCTCAAGCCATCCAGCCTGGTTGTAAACGCAGGTGGATAACAGAAAGTCACTGCATCCTTGAAACAGCATCCCTGACGGGCATGCAGAAGCTTGTATGCTTGCCCTCATAATGGTGATGTGCAGGGATCCAATCCGGCTTTCCTTCTTCGGGACAGGTGGCTAAGGGCAGGCATGGGGCAGCAATGGGAACGTCCCCTTTTAAACCGCATTCCCCTACTGGCCTGTGAATGGGAGAGGAGCTCTAAAGTGTCTTCATCTATCCACTCTGGGCAACACAGTTTGTTTACATTTTCCCCTCCCATTCAGGAGTAATGCCTTTATCTGTAGCATTTCCTGGGCATCTTGGGCACGGTATGTGCTCAGTTAGTATTACTGAATGCAATATATGAACAGAGAAGACAGGCGCTCCCACCGTCCTTGAGCTGCTCTTCCTTCCGTCAAAGCACACGTGGTAACTGTATCTGCCGCAGCTCCTTGAGTCAAGCAGTATTGCTTTGGAGAACTTTTGATCTTCCTTTCCGACTCCTTCCACGGTTCTCCTGTGCATTGTAGATGCAGCGCAGCCGAATGGTATGGCATTATGTTGCTTTAACAACACCAGAAATCCCATCAGCAGGGCTACATGGTTTTCGTGCCCCAGTATTTGCAACAGAACTGCACTGGTGACCTTTTTTAAAAAATCAAACTTCAAAACTTAAATGCCAAAACAAGGTTTCAGTAATTATAATACACTTGCAATAGTCACACTTAATGAAAGGCATCCTAACTCCTTTAATAATGTTTTTTATCTGTGCTGTTTGCAGAAGCTCGAAAGATCTCTTATCTTCTATTACTCTTTAGTCTTCCTTACTATTTCCCATCCCCCACCGGGAGTCAGAGCAATGACTTTCAACTTCCTGCTCACTTTCCTTAAGAGAAATGCTAGTATATCTGGCTGCCTTCCTTCCTTCTGACACTACTCCACTATTAATGTCACGTCAGGTGACAACAGGTGAGTGGTGTGGGTAGGAAAGAGTTTCCTTGATTTCTTGGCAATGACGAAGAGGGCTCTTTCACCATTCTTTGCTTGTTTTGTCAGGTGGCAAGTCAAAGGCTGCTTGTGGTTCTTTGTGAGGAGCCTGGGACTACTTGGATGTAGTCTGTGGGTTCTGAGACACAGCTAAGCTGTCTAACCTTAGCACAGTGGTTCTCAGCCTTCCTAATGCTGCAACACTTGACCCCCCAACCATAAATTTCTTTGTAGCACTTCATAATTATAATTTTGCTACTGCTATGAATTGTAATATAAATATCTTATATGCAGGATATCTGATATGTGACCCCTGTAAAGGGTCATTCAACCTCCCAAAGGGGATCTCAAGCCATGGGTTGAGAACCACTACCTTAGTGGCCCGTGGTACTTTTCCTGAAATTGCTGGCTACGGTTTGAGCACAGTAGAGAGCTTCCCCTTGCCTTGAAGCCCCTCCAGAGCCAGGGGGAAGGATCAGGCCCCTCCTCCAGGATTCCCAGACTGAGGTATGCCTCCTTGGATGTAAAGCTATTCTCTCTTCCTTGGCCTTCATCCCCTAGAGTGAAGAGTAACTCCTGTGCTTCTCCTATTTGCTCTCTCTCAAACTAGAAAGTCAGCTCCCCCTTAACTTTTTTGCCGGCTGCTGTGAGTCTCCCCTCTCATACGCTGAATTCCAGTTTCAAATCCACCAGACCTAGGTTTGGATGTGTTGATAGGAGCACAACAATGTTTAAAATCCTTATCTTTTCTCATACTGCCCCACTAGAGGCTCAAATGTCCCACTCAAAGAACCCCAATTCTCTCCTGTAATTCTAGGAGATAGAAAGAATTAGGGGCAGACAAAGGAGTTCTGCTGTGGTTTGAGCTGAAAATGTCTTCAACAGACTTATGTTTTGAATGTACATTTTTAGCAGGATCTGGTAACAGGGAGAGGGGCTTCACTGGAGAGGGGCTTCACTGGAGAGGGGTTCACTAGAGAAGGGTTCACTGGAGAGGGGCTTCACTGGAGAGGGGTTCACTAGAGAAAGGTTCACTGGAGAGGGGCTTCACTGGAGAGGGGCTTCACTGGAGAGGGGCTTCACTGGAGAGGGGCTTCACTGGAGAGGGGTTCACTAGAGAAGGGTTCACTGGAGAGAGGCTTCACTGGAGAGGGGTTCACTAGAGAAGGGTTCACTGGAGAGGGGCTTCACTGGAGAGGGGCTTCACTGGAGAGGGGCTTCATTGGAGAGGGGCTTCACTGGAGAGGGCTTTACTGGAGAGGGGTTCACTAGAGAGGGGTTCACTGGAGAGGGGCTTCACTGGAGAGGGGTTCACTAGAGAAGGGTTCACTGGAGAGGGGC